CAATGCATCCATCACCAAGGCAAATAAGAACGGGCTAAGCGCAGAGCCTTGGTGTAATCCCATGACAACCGAGAAATGCTCCGAGTCGTCTCCCACAGTCCTAACCTTAGTCTTAGCTCCATCATACATGTCCTTGATTACTCCTATGTAGGCTACCGGCACGCCCTTTGCCTCAAGACATCTCCAGAGCACCTCCTTGGGACCTTGTCATACGCTTTCTCCAAGTCAATAAACACCATGTGCAGATCCTTCTTCCTATCCTTGTACTGCATCGACAATTTATTAATAAATAAATAAATAATAATAGTATCATGTACATCTACAGACTCTGGTTGTATCTCATCCCAGAGCGGATATAGCACTCGTAGTTTCCTAGAAAAGGCTGAAAAGGGAAGGAAATTTCAAGCAAATCTAGGGGAACAACCAAAGATAAAAGGAGAAAAGACAATTAAAGTACAGAACAATATGGCTACCACAAATCCTCCTAAAGTAATAATTTATTCAATTTGCATTATCTTCCTTGTCAGTACGTTAAAGTCTGAAGGCAGCTAAAATGTTACCAATTACTGTAGTTAAATACCTGGGCAAAACTGTTCCCTGTGTGATATCTCCCCAGCTACTTTCTGAATAACCAAAATAAAAATGTTAAACAGAAACTAAAAAGACAATTCAGCAATAAACTCTGGTCGCGACATCACCTACAGATGCGACCACGATCCCTCTTCCTTCTTTGCACAGGGTAGAGTAAACAGGAATTGCTCCACCAAAATTCAGCAACCTGGATCGACATTTGGGGAGATTTAGAAAATAAACTTACAATAAAGTTAAGGTACATAAAGATAAGATTAAGTGTTGGAGGATGTGTAAGAAGCAAAAGATTTCCTATTAAAGCTGAAAAGACACCAAATTAAAGTTGTACTTTCACTTGATTGAAACACCTTCCCTTCAAGGAAATAATTCGCTTTTCCTCACTTCAAAAAAAACAATCGAATAGCAAACGGATTAATTTGAAATAGTATGTATCTATTTAGAGATTCCCTTGCTAGTGGAGACCTATTAGACAGAGAAACTGCCAGCAAGAAGGAAAGAGAACATTAAGACATGGAGAATAAGGTTAACCAAGGATGGATAGAATGCCATCAATTGACTTGGTTATTGTAATGGTGAATCAAGTTTCTCCCTACACTACAGCCCCCAAAGTGTGGCCTAAAAGCAGAGGAGTTGGTGTAATAACCTCTGGAAAAAAAGTTTGAATCCCAGCAGATGCAACAGGTGATTCATCCTATCAGTCTAACCCTAGGTGGTCAGAGTTAACTGATACTTATATTGGTGGGAAGTAGCACGAAACCCAGGAACTAGTCAAGGTGTGCGCAAGCTGGCCTAAACACTATAGTAATTAAACAGGATAATCTCTAAATTATCAAAAGCAGCATCTGCCCCCACTCAAAAATAAAAGAGGACAAGGAAGCATTGGGAGGAACTTATTTATTTGTACTTAAAAGCTATGTTGCGCGGACTCTCCAAAATGTAACTGCACCCGTGTCGGATCCGTCAAAAATGCACTACTTTTGGAGGATCCGACACGTATCCGGCCACATTTTCGGAGAGTCCGAGCAACATAGCTTAAAAGAGCATTATCAGCAGCTAAAATGTATTACAATGGACCTTTACCCCCCTAAACCATGGAGAATTTAAATGAGGGAGACTTAGGACACAAGTTACATTGTATAGAATCGTAGAAGTAGGGTCAAATAGTTCCAAAAAAATTGATTGTGAGAGATTTAGGTCAAAAGCCATGTTATATACAATACAAAAAGTAGTATCAGATAGTTCAAATTTCAACCTATGCCTATACAAAAGTCCTCATGATAAACCATTTCCATTTGGGACTTACTGTTTGTTTTAATTGGAAGAAGAAAAAGGGTAGTTATAGATAAAGCAAATCGAACACAGGAGAAGTGGAAGGCCAAATAAATGAAACAGCCAAAAAAAAAATGTTAAGAGGTCATTTTAGATCCACAAATAAAGCAAAGTAAGAAATGATAGGCGACGGTGATCTTGAGGAATAAGCATAAAAGGAAGCAATTATCATAATCAAATGCGGTAATCTGGAGGTATTATACAAATATAAACGATTAGATCCGATAGAATGTTCAAGGCTTCAAGTAGAATACATAAAAGGATAAATTGAGAGGAGGATGCTGAAAATGATTTGGGCATGTTCGATATAGACTTCCAAATGCACCGGTTTGTAAGTGCCACTATTATGATTGAATGTGTCAAAACGGGGACAAGGTACATCTAAAATCATGCAGTCTTAGTCTTAGATAAGAAGAAAACATGATAAGAACAAATGATCTATATAGGCAATACCCACTAGTTTAGATTAGGCTTTATCATTGTGTACAACTTACATTATGTTCGACATTTTTCAAGAATCTTTGTACTTTGGTTACAGTATCATATGTTCGATTAGAGATAAATGTGATATTGCCTATAGTTGTGAAACTCTTGATTTGTCTCGACAGAAACTTTTGAATATTAAATAAAAATAGTCCCAAACTGAATGGCATGGAACATACTGCCGATCCTAGCTACTTTGGAGTTTGACGCACAGTTGCTGTTGTATTCAGAGCCAGCAGCTAAGTTCTTTAGCAGCAATATTAGGGTAGTACTATAAGCAACAACGACGATCATATACCTATTCTGCCAAATAGTAATTGGACAAAATCCCATATCTTGATGATAAATGTGTTTATTTATTTGGAAAAGGAAATCAACCAATTTTTTCACCAATCCCGTTAAATATACTCTATCTACATAAACTAGAAGGTTTCTTTTTCTTTTTTCCCCAACGGAGTGATTTTAGGAAAATATTACCAAAAGGCAATATGATACAGAAGAGCTCATATATGGTTGTTACCAACAAAGAAGTTAAGATCAAATGGATGTCTAAAGCTAGGTAATTAAAGACTCTGAGCAAACAAAAACACCTAAATCTTAACATGACGAATCAAATGATGGGCAGCTGAAAAAGTACATAAAATCATTCCTAAAATTAAACCCAAATCCCTAACATAAATAAAGAATTATAAAACAACAACAACTTTGGGTGTTTCAACAATTGGGGAAATGGCCAATCTTGAAAAGCAAACAAAATGGTTATGCAAATTCCAAAATTAAGTGCACATCAATCCCGATTCCCAGCTGATTAAGACGAAATTGAAAAAAGAAAATGATGTACCTGAACCCGAAAACCCTGCACCCTTTCAACAACTACAGCTGAAACAAGACCGATGCCTTTTCTTGAAAAAAATATTTGTTGTGTTACAAATGAAGGAAAAAAAAATCAATTACTGGGTGTTATAGATTAGCTTTGGTTTTGTAACAGAAACAATTTTGATTATTCTTTTGGGGAGAGAATTGGATGGGTACGTTTTTTGCAGTCTTTGTACGTCAGGCAGAGAGTGTTTAAGGACAATTACACAAGAGTGTTTTTGGAAAGTAGATGCGTTTACCCTAAGAAATTAAAAAAAGAATAGAATTAGGCACGAAAGGATATTCCCATTCCATTACTCTGTCGTTTGGTTTTGGTTTTCTGTTTATTTAAACAAACTAAATATAGCTCCCCCCTCAACATTTTTTTTCTTTTTTTATTCCATAATATTGGTAGTACTAGTTTTGGAACTTTGACAAAAAAAAAAAAATACTTTGAAGATAAACGTGTTTATCAAAGTCGATTTCATTTCCAACATCCGTAACATTTCTTTTCTTTAGGTTGACATCTAAAAGAGTTTTTCCTTCATTTCTTTTGGCTTTTAATTTATTTCTTTTGTTTTCACATATCACTTTGTTGTTCAATGTTTTTTATTCAGTGTCAATGAATTTCCAGCTAAATACACTTCAGTTTTTCCTAATATCATCTTGATTAGGAATCTCCTTTTTAAGTTTCTTTTGGAGGTACAATTTGACCCTTTTTTGCATTTAAGAATTTATGTGAGTACAATATGTCTCATCTTCCTTCTTCCCAAGAGAAAAAACTACTTTTCAGTTCCATAAATCTTCTTCAAATTGTATGCTTACGAGTTAAGATACATATAATTCTTTTTACTACAATAGATAATTAGGCCAATGCATGAGAAGCTTTCACTAATCGTAAGTGTGAAAGCTAGCGAGTAATTAAGTACTAGAAGTTAAAAAAGAGAAAAAGGATACGGAAAGTGGAGAGTTGATTGAAGAGGAACAGAGTGATTTTTTTTTTCTTCTCTTTACCTTGTTAGAGTGGTATGTTATGACTAAGGGTGTGTTTGGCAAGAAGGAAAATATTTTTCAATTTTTTCATAATTGGTTCGCTTAAATGTTTTGAAAAATATTTTTCTCGTGAACTCATTTTCGATGAAAAATATAAAATACTTTTCATATCAAGAGAAGGGAAAATATTTTTCAAAATTCTTTTTTAACCTTCCCACCCTATTCCCCATCCCTNAGCAATTGTATTGAAAAGTATTACTAACTTTTTTTATGGTTAAGTACTTAAAATTTTAGAAAGATTTTCATTGATTAATTTAATTGACTGACAGATATTATTTAAAGAGCACGTTAATTTATCTGCTGCTTTGATACATACATCGAGTTCGATTATGTAATTTTTGTACAATTTTTCATTTAAAATGAGAAGTTATAAATTCGAATTCTAAGGACTTTGTTATTATTATTCGGTGATGATGTAAATATGTAAAAGGAATGTACTTAAATATTTATTTTTAGAAAAAGGGCATTTAGTAATCGCCCATTTATTTTAGATGGCATGATTTTTTTACTAATTGGTTCCATTAACAAATTTTACCTTTCTAAATTTGAAATTTATTTAACATAAATTTTATATTTTATCATTACTGACAATGTTTTAAATATAATGACATGTCTACGACTAATAGTTCAAATAAATATATAAAAAATTACCTCATTTCAACACTGGATATGGTGCCTATTTTCAAATTATACAAGCTATGATTATTTCACATTTTTACAGATTCTATGTAAATTTTTGTTCTCTTTCTACAACTCTTTGTAGAATGTCATAAACTTTCTGCGTCCATTTTATAAAGTTGTATGTAGCCTTTCTTGGTTAACTTTCTAGTTTGTGTAACTCTTATTTTTCTTTTGTAAAATTTATTACTGTAATACCTTATACTTTTTTTGTTCAATAAAAAAAAGAGTATTTTCTTTTTAGTTATGGAACACGAATTTCAATGTTATTTTTGCATAAAAAAATAAAGCAACACATTAGTTCCTTACGATTTGTATGAATTTTTAGAAGTATAATTAAATTTTTAAAGAAAATAAACTCCTAAAAACGTTGGATATTTTGGG